GCGGGCGCGGCCGGCGCGGGCACTGCAGGTACGAGGGGCGGCCGGGGAGAGCGCGGGCACGACTCTGGGTCCCACGGGGGCTTCTGATGACGCAGAATGTGGGATGGACGCGGGCGAGGGCGGGAGGCACGTTGGGAATCGAAGCGGGAAGGGGTGGGGTGGGAGCGGACGCGGGGTCGCTCCGCAGGACTTCGCGTGAGGGAGAGTCGTTTGCACGTCTTGGGCTTGGGGACGCGGGTTGCGGTTCGCGCTCTACGCTCCCGGGACCCCGTGGGCCTGGTGGGCCAGGTAGCGCCTTGGGGCGGTCCCACGTGACAGTAGAGTGACGCCCCGCGCCCCGAAAGACTTCTCTAGGCCGCGTCTGAGGGAGCGGGTCGGCAGGCCTGTCCCTCGCGGGCGGGCGCGCGCTGCCCGGCGTCGTTCGCAGCCGAGTGCTTCCCCGGTGCGCCACCACCCTCACTGAGCCTCCCGTGGAGGACTGACGCCAGCGTGCCCCAGACAAGGCGTGCGTGCGCGGCCGTGGTCGAGAGTAAGAGACAGGGGTCTTACTTTCTACAGCGCTGCAAGAGGTCCGTCCGTTAATTGGCAGTCCACCTCTCGGACCCGCCCGCGTTTTACCCTCGGGTTCGAAACCACTGCGTACGGTTGGTGCCCCCCCAAAGGCCCCGACAGTGGCGAAGGTCTGAACCGTGCTTGCCCAAAGGGCGTATCAAGGATGGGGCTCAATCCACTCGAAGCGGGAAAGTGACTTTAGGTCCAATTTTGCATCTAACTGCCTTCCCAGTCTCGAACGTCTGTGGCTCTTACTGTGCTTGAGGACGCCGCAGGTTTGTTTTCTGTGTATTTACTGGCATGCAAATTTAGAATTTTACAGTTGGGTGCAAACTTTGAGTTTTTCATTCCTTCTGCAAGTATTTCTTGAGCACCTGATGTGGACCAGTGCCAGGGATACTTACATCGTCTTTAGTATGTTACAACCACTCTCCAGTGCCGAGACAAACATGGATTTTAAAAATCCTTTAAATGTGATTGAACTATTGTGTGAGCATGTGAATTATATGTGTGTTAGTCTGGGTAGACTAGAGAAACACATTCATAAACACGCATATGTATTTAAAGGAGCGGTTTATATACAAGAGGAATTGTACGTTAAGAAAACATCCCAACCCAGTCCAGGTCCATAAGTCCGATACTAGCCCATATGTCCAGTACCATTCTATAAAGTCCTCTTCAGATGCACGAAACACATGAACGATGACGAATGCAGTAGGATCACAGGCCAGTGGTAGAAAGTCTGGGTCCAGTGGCGTTGTAAGCGTCTCAGCACTGGCAGGGGTCTCTCTGGCTTCTCCAGCTTCTGAGGTCTGGTTGCATTCATGTGGCTTGTCCGGTCAGTGCACTAGGGTAGCTCCATGTGTCTTGTCAGCTGCAATGTCTCCCAGGGAGTTGCAGAGGGAGACAGTCTCTCCTGCCTCCAAGGAGGAAAATCCCAGAATTCTCAGAAGACCATGCCCACACAGAGGCCTTGTTGGCTATGATCTGATTGACAGGCTAGACTCTACCCCTACATTCTAAATCATCAAATTGACAAATGATTATATAACTACCACAATATGCCAATAAAATTCTTGGGGGGGAAATCCCATAAAGCCTAATATTGAAACTTGGTAAGTGCTAAGAAGAAAAGGTATTGATAATATGAATTGTGTAATGTGCATTATAGGAGGATTTAATGTAGGAGAATTGGGGCAGACTTTTCTGAGGAGGTGATAGTTGCAATCTGAGATTAGAAGCCAGAGGGAAAGAAAAGGGGACTGATGAGAACTCAGATGTTCCTGAGAGGCCAAATAAGATGATATTGAAAACATTTTTTTTTTCTTGACCAATCTGAGGATTATTTCCTTAAGAGAAAATCTTACCTTGGAGACCAATTTTTTAAAAAAAGTTTCTGTGTTTAAAATGGGTTATTGAGATATACCGTCTGGGGGCTTAAAGGTAAACAAGTGGCCATCTAGCCAGGAAGCAACAAGTCCCACATGGAAGAAGCACACCAGCCTGTGTGATCACAAGGTGTCGCTGGTATCCGGCATCAAAGACCCAGAACCAAAAATCATATTGTGAGTGCGGAGTGGATACCCAAAGCCCATCTGTAGGCAACTGGACATCCCCTTACAGAAGGTCCCAGGGAGGAGAGGAGCCAGTCAGAGTACATTATAGCAACAATGAAACACAACTTTCTTCTAGTTCTTAAATGCTTCCTCCCCGCCACTATCATGATCCCAATTCTACCTTACACATCAGGCTGGACCAGAAGATGTACACCGGTACAGATAAGAACTGGAAACACAGGGAATCCAGGACAGATAAATCCCTCAGGACAAATAATGAGAATATCGATACCGGGAAGGTGGGGGGAGAAAGAGGGAACCGATCACAGGATCTACATATAACCCCCTCCCTGGGGGTTGGACAGCAGAAAACTGGGTGAAGGGAGACATCGGACAGTGTAAGACATGACAAAGTAATAAGAATTCATAAATTATCAAGGGCTCGTGAGGGAGTGGGGAGCCAGGGAGGGAAGGGAATAAATGAGCTGATATCAAGTGCTCAAGTAGAAAGCACATTTTTTGACAGTGATGATGGCAACAAATGTACCAATGTGCTTGACACAATGGATATATGTATGGATTGTGATAAGAGTTGTGCGAGTCTCCAATGAAATGATTTTAAAAAGAAAAAGAAAGAGATGCTTGTGTAAATACCTGTTACCATCAAGTCGCCTTCAGCTCCTGTGACGTGCTTCCGAGTAGAACTGTTCTTTCTCCATGGAGCGTTCAGTGACGGATCAGCAGTGGATCACCAGGCCTTTCTTCTACAGCATCCCTGGGCCTTTCATTTCTTGGCAGCATAAGCCTGTGCACCATCAAAGGACATTTAGCCAAGCCTAATTCATACCTATTTGGATCCCAGTTTAAAACCCTCTAAAGCAGTGGTTCTGAACCAGTGGGTTGTGACCCCTTTGGAGGGGGAGGGGTTGAACAACCCTTTCACAGGGGTCGCCTAAGACCATCGGAAAACACGTTTCTGATGGTGTTAGGAACCCAGACACCGCTCTGCTATCCATTTCCAGGTGGGTCTGCCCACATGCAGATAACGCCCGCGTACAAGTACCCGGCGGTAAGACTGCTAACCATGCTACACCATGCTTCAAGACAAAATTTCATTTATTTGTCATTAGAAATAAATATTTCACAATATAGAATTACATCTTATTTTTATGATTCATCACTATGCTTTAATGATGTTCAATTTGTAACATTGAATACATTCTGCATATCAGATATTTACATTGCGATTCATAACAGTAGCAAAATTACAGTTATGAAGTAGCAAGGAAAATAATTTTATGGTTGGGCGTCATCACAACATGAACTATTAAAGAGTCACAGCATTAGGGAGGTTAAGAACCACTGCTCTAAAGAGTTTTTAAAAAAATCATGGTAGAAGCTCAGCTGTTATAAAAAAATCAAAGTCATAAAGTTATTTATTGGCAGGGAAGGGAGCGTATTCCTTAAAACTCAGTTCTGCCTCTGGCCCAGTTATTCCCCCCACACCAATAATTATCTTCTCTACCTGTTTTCATGATGGATGAATGAGCCATGTGGTTTAAATGATGAAAACACTAGGGTTTTGCTATTGGTGGAACTGGACAGTCACAGGAAGACTGGATGAATAAAAAACCTTTTTTTCTCTTCCCCCTCAAGGTAAAGATGGTGGAAGCACAGGAGAATGGCGTGATGGAGCTACCCGATTATGAGCATGTGGACGATGAAACGTTTCCTCCTTTCCCACCTCCAGCCTCTCCCGAGAGAGAAGATGGGGAAGTTGCTGAACCCCTCGATGAAGGTCTGCTTGGGGAGTGTCACACGAGCATCCTTGTTTAGTGGTCTTCCTGTTAGCTTAGAACTGATATTTTCATAAATGAGGCTGGAGCTAATTAAGTAATCTTAAATCTTGGCTGTTTCACCAGAGCTGGAGGGGAGGGTACCTGTCCCTGTGCCTGCAAAGAGAATAGTGAAGAGGAACGTCCCCAAGCTGGATGCCCAGAGGTGCAGTTACTATTTTCTTAAGTGTTACACTTTCCCTTTGGAGCCATTGTCTTTCTTCCTATGTGATAAGCTTTTGTTTGGGATGATTTAGAGATCAGCATTTCTAAAGACTCTTTTCTCCCTTCAGATCAGAAAATACTTTTCCTTCTTATGATCTTGACTTGTACTTGATGGTCCTAGAAAACATGAAATTAAAGAGACACTTCTATTTACAGGTTAATTTCAGAGAGAGGGCTTCCAACCTTAAGGCATGTGTTTGATAAGACAAAATTCAAAGGTAAAGGTCATGAGGTAAGAACATGTCCGCTTTTTATTTTAGAATTTGTTTTGTAAAACATCAAATGGTGTGACTCCATTGTGCTCTTAAGAACCTCAAATCTTGACTGAGGCTATCATTTGTCATCACATCTCTCAGAAGCAGTGATGTTGTGGAAAGGGCACTATTTGAAAAAGCAGACAATGTGTCTTCTAGTCTTATTTTTACCACTGTTAAAACTAGGATTAGTGGACATTTATTCTTCCTCAGTTTCTTCTCAAGGTGAAGATAACTCTTTATAAATGTCCTAGAGAAATATAGTAGCTTTCTGTTCATCCTTTGCAAGTAAAAAGGGTGGATCGTTCCACTACTGACACTTAACAAAAAAACCTAACAAAAACAAAACAAAAAATAAATAAATAAAACTAGGATTTTAGGAAAAACTCACTCTTACCTGCAAACCCGAGTTTGTAGTTTATAATTTTTTTTTAATCAATTTATTGG